GTAGTTATGATCAAAGATGAGTTATTTACTCAACCATATGTCGCTTCGAGTTTTCAAAGCTGAGTTACTCACTTTATACTCTGTAAGAACTTCTTTGCATAATTTTTGTTTCAGACTAAACATTCATTTAAGGGTTAACTGGGAGTTAACTGGGAGAGAGCAGACAGGGAGTAGCGAATCAGTTTTCACTTCTCAAAGCTCTTTATGCTATAATATATAAATTATCGATTTTAGGACAAATTAATCTTCTTTTGATTTATATAAATGACGTTTATATACTAATGCTATACATATATATATCATTTCTTAGACTGACTCCATAATGATCCATAATAATGTGTGTTTACCACACATTGGCATATGGGAACTAAAAAAAATACAACAATTCGGGCAAATGTCTACGTTCTCATATTAATTCTATTTCACATGCTTTCCATACTGTTAACCAAGTACTCTAGAAATTTTTCTTTCCTATCAAATGCCTTATTGTATCGAAAAAGTAGGTATACACCAGTTAATTTAAGTACCACGTTGATAACACAACTGATTGTTTCAATCATTCTTTTCATCTTATTAGTGCATTTAAAACATGTTGCGGATTCTGTCCATAAGTTGAGAAGCCCAGTAAACTCCATATCGCCATGTGTTAATGACCATATGTCATTTGCTTATTTATTATTATGCGATCCTATGGTTTGGTATTGAATATTAAGACTCATATCCTCTTGTTTTCGTTCACATTAATATTTATAAAGAAGGAAGAGTACTATTTTAATTGTTTCCAGCCATTGAGACCAAACTGATCTCTTCTGTTTAATATATTAGATGTAAATTTGTTTCCACTACAAAGTTTTTTTATCATTCATTCGGTTATTCGGAAACTCAGGTAACACAGAAATTTTTTAACTATTATTAATGTACAAACTATATTAATATCTTATTTATTTGTTTCCTTATTTATTAATTTTTTTTTTATTTTATTTTTAATTTTTATTTATGTAACAGGTGTTATTAGACATTATAGGCAGAATATATTTAAATCTGAATTATTTGTATTTTACTAATACTAATACT